AAAATCACAAATGTTGAAAGTCACAAATGTCAAAAACCAGTATCTAAAATATGTGTATGTGTATATATATTACACATATAGTGTAATAATGGTTTCTTTTCCAAGAGAAGAATAGAAATCAGAAATAAGGTAGCAAATGACTTCACTTTAAATCAAGAAATAGGTTGAGAGATGAAAGGTCACCAAATGAAACCACCCCAGCCAGGTGTACCACTTGGGTTCTTACAGACAAGTTCCTGCTAGAACACAAAGTCAAGGCTGGTTCCTGGGCACAATATTTTTTAACTTTAATTACCAGTAAAGGTCCAAGCTGAACTGTACTCCGTAACAAATTATGCATAACAAGCTTCTATTCTTTGTGCCATAACACTTTTTTCAATGTTATCATCTCAGTAGATAGTATCTAGATATATAAGGAAGTGAAAGTATTCTTTTCTATTTCTCCTAATCACCTCATTCAAATCATATGAATATATATGAGTTCCAGGGCACTCGGCTTTAAAATATTGTATGACTATAAACTTTAAATCCAAGCCCCGGATGGTCTACACTCATCTCAGCAGCAGCATCTTGAAATGTTGAATTATCATCTTCAATTTCCTTTAGTCATTTATTGTAGCTGCCAGACTGAAATGGTGCACCTTAAAGGCAACACTACACTGAAAAGCAAATAATAAAAAAGTCTCTTAAATGTTTCATTTATAAAAGCTTATTTTTCCTCCATCAACTCTTGTATACTATCTGGAATATATCACTTTGTGAAATTGTCATGATGCATGCAGTGATTCTGCCATGATACATGTGTTAACCTTCAAGGTTTATTTGGGAAAGGAGGCAAGGAAAATATACTATCATCTTTTTACCATTTAAGAACCAGAGCTAGTTGAGTTTCAGTCTTGTGGGGAAGAGAATGGAGTTAAAAATTAAGCCTCAGTTTGCCACATGCTGTTACCATAGCTGCCCCCTTTCTGGAGAGCTTTGCTTTTGGGGCTATATTTTTAAAAATTATGCCATAGCTTGGATTGTAGCTCACTGGGAGAGCATTGGCCTAGCATGTCTGAGGCCCAGCAAGTGTGTACTCACATGCATGCAGGCACATGCACATGTACTCACACAAGCCATAAAATAAGCACTTTGTTGCCCATGTAATTGTAACTCCTCTGTACAGTATTCTCACAATAAAAAAAAAAAAAAGCACTTTAGAGCCAGATGCCAGCAGCTCACACTTGTAATCATAGCTACCCAGGAGGCAAGAGGCTTAATTCTTTTTTATATATATTAATGTTTTTTTATTGTGAAAATATCGTACAGAGGGGTTACATGAGCAAGGTAATGAGTGATTTCTTATCAAGCATTGTTGTCTCCTCGTTTGTTTCCCCTTACCATCCCTGCCCTCCCATACCCCCCCCCCCCCCCAGAGGCTTAATTCTGATGACCAAGGTTCAAAGCCAGCCTTGACAGACAAATCCCAGGGACTCTTATTTCTAATCAACCAGTAAAAAGCATGGCTCAAGTGGTAGAGTGCCAGCTTTGAACAAAAATGCCAAGCAAAGGCTTTGAAGCCCTGAGTTCAAGCCCCAGTATGGCATTGGAAAGAAGAAAGGGTAAAGGAGAAGAGGAGGGGAAGGGAAGGGAGCAGTAGGGAGGGGATGTGAGGAGAGGACAGAGGAGGAGAGGGGAAGAGAGGAGGGGAGAGGGGAGGAGAGGAGAGGGAGGAGAGGGGAGGGGAGGGGAGGAGAGGGGAAGAGAGGGGAGGAGAGGGAAAAGGAAATTTTTCAAAAAGTCTATGAATGCTCACTTTCAACAGAAAAATAAAAAACAAATATGAGACCAAAGTGTTTTTCTTTAAAGCCCTGCTAATAGCGGTTTTACACTATTTTGTAGTCCTATATAATTTCCTTCATCCATAATTTTTAGTAACTATGAAATGCTTATAAAATCAACAATACATAGTTTATACTTCTAAAATGGAAATTTTAGAACAAAATACAAAAAAATAGATAGGGTGCTGCCAATATGACTCAGTAAGAGAGCCAGGGAATTTATCTGAACAAGTTCCTAACTTGCTCTGAAAAAAGGGAATTAACCCATCAGTGCTTTTTTTCCCTTTTAAATACCAAACTCAGGTATTAAATGGGCAATATCACTATTCAAATCTTCTTGTTAATGGTACTTTGTAAAGTCAGATTTTGGTAATTTATCTTATAAAATAGTTTAACTAAAAACGGATTCCCAAAGAATCTTTCTCTCCAATGACTTATTTAGGAAATAAGTGTCTATGTTCATTATTGCCCATTTTTAACATTTTATGTATAGTTATTTTAAAGCCTTATTTAGAAATAAGTACCAGTCCTTTTTCATAGCCAAGTACAAGATTTTTTAGATCTGCAAGGTTTCTTAAAAACCCATCAGCATGAGAGTGAGATCCAAGGATCAAAGTTCGAAGCCAGCCTGGTCAGAAAAGTTGTGATATTCTTCTCACCAAGTAACCACCAAAAAAGCTAGAAGTGGAACTGTGGCTCAAGTGGTAGAATGCTAGTCTTGAGCACAAAAGTTCAGGCCCTGAGTTCAAGCCCTAGGGCCAACACACACACACATCAACTTGACATGCCTTCCTAATTCCAGAAATGTACACCATAATTCTATCTCCAACATTTCTTGGAACATTTTCTACTTGGCTAAAATCATTCTTAGTCTGCAACTATAAACAAGAAATTTTTACCTAAAATAATTGAGAGATGATCTAATTATTTAGCATCTGATTAATAATCTATCATTCTAACATTATAAACATCTATAGCTGCAACTTCTCTAATTTGCCAATTTCCAAAGAGATTAATAAAAGATGTAATTCACATCTAAATTTAGCACAGACTGTCAAACACAATTTGAAACAAATTATGTTAACAATAACCACACTGTAATCAAATAAATCAACCCATCAGCCTTTACAGTTCTGACTAAGGTTAGTGGGCATGATGTTATACATTTTCCAGTAACTCTGAAACACTAAATGGAAATTAAGAACTTTTTTCATAAAACTTTATAAAAAATAAAGGTTTTCATCTTTAAAATCTAGCATCTAGTACACAATAAGCAAACAACAAATAAACCAATGCATTAATACCAACCAGTTCCTGTTATGTCCTAAGAAGCACTTCAAATGGCAGTTAATACACTCAAACTACTTTTTATTTCTAAAATAAACTGATTTAGTTTTTTATAACTTTCCAATTTAATAGAATGAAAACTAATGATCTTCTGAGATTATATATTTCTCATTCAAGCTTTTCATCAAATTTAAAACTATAGAAATGTAAGGTAAAACTTTCTTTGTAATAATCACAAAACATTTTTCTTATGAAGTTACTTTTATCTTGTGTGTGTGTGTGTGCTGGTACTAGGACTTGGACTCAGGGCTTGGGTGCTGACCCTTAGCTTTGTTGCTCAAATTTAGCACTCTACCACTTGAGCCAAAGCTCTACTTCTGGCTTTTTACTGATTAACTAGAGACAAGTCCCATGGACCTTTCCTGCCCAGGCTGGCTTCAAACCATGATCCTCAGATCTCAGCCTCCTGAGTAGCTAGGATTGTAGGTATAAGGCACAGTACTCACTCAGCTAGTTATTTTTTAAAATATTAAAAATCTGAGGGGCAAGTAGGAAACAGGATGGCAGTGTGGCTCAAGTATTACAAGTGCCTGCCAAACAAGTACAAAGCCCTGAATTCAAACCCTAGTACCAAAACAAAAAAGGAGAAAAAGGAGAGAAACAACTAAATGTTCATAAATGTTTTTCCACTTCAAAAACCGACATCAGAGCCAAATGTGAATTTCTCAATCTATCAGTAACTTCTTTTCCATGTTATCACAGAAAAGTTCAACAGGCTTTACAAAATCCATTACATTTTAAGACCGATTCCAATATCTACTAACGTAAATCAAGAAATCAATTTATTCAAGGCTACTTATGGGGAATTAATCACACAGAAAATTTTAACAACTCTTTTTCAAAAATTAAAATACCTTACTGTACTTGGCATAACTATAAATAATGATGTGGACTCGAACTGGAAGCATTAAGCACATATAATTAAAATTCATGGACTTACACATTAGAAAAAAAAAGGTTCAACATGTGGAATTCTCTGTAACAAGTATTTCAGAAAAAAATCAAAATATAAATACGATGTAACCTCCTTTCAATTTCTCCACTGCTTAAGTGGTATTATTACTTTAGAGAAAGTTCTCCCAAAACACATGTAAGTCTTTTTATAGCCTTAAAAATATGTAATAAAAAAAAGCTATAAAAGTGAGGCCAAACAAGTGAACAAATGCAGCAGTGGTACTCACTGGACACTGTGTTGAAAACAAACTTTACAACTGTGGGTGAGGACAGGAGGGAAAAATTGGGAGAGAGCAAGGGAAGGGGTAACACGGTACAAAAAGTAATGTACTCATTACCTGACTTATGTAACTTTAACCTCTCTCTATATCACCTTTGTAATAATAAAAATAAAATAAAATTAAGAAAACTTGAGGCCAACTGAACTGAAGAAAAAAATTCATTAATTTTTCTCTCCACTCAATATGACTTCTAAGCTCTATCTTCCTAATTTGAAGGATATATTTATTCAAGAAAAACAGAAGTCAGTTACATGACACCTACAATCTCTATTATGCAGTACTGGATCAAAACATGAAACCCTGGACGAGAGGGGGGAAAAGGAGTGACATTGTTCAGAAAGAAATGCACACTGTACCTGACTTATGTAAATGTAACATCTCTGCACATCACAGTTATAATAACAATTAAAAAATTTAAAAACAAACATACAACCTTCTGAAGCTAATGAAAATATTTTATTTTAAATTGGACTTCAAAGCAACATGCCAAGAACTAAAGCACAACCTTAAAGCTTCAATTTCATACTCTGAATATGAAGAAAGCAATTCCTAAAATTATGAAGGCGTGATGAGTTAAATACACAGAAAAAAAGGGCACATTTAGGTCACTTTATTCTTTCTTCAAATCACATAATAGTAAGAGACATTCTTATATCTTCTACGTACAAAGAGCATATTTCATTTAAAATACAAATGTTTACAATGAACATTTAACTTAAGTTTCAGTTACTGATAGTATAGTAAGTCCAAGATTTACGTAGATAAGGAAACAAGTGTCTCACTGAAAGAAGTGGTAAGCTATGTCTCACAATGTTAAAACTTCATGATATCCTACAGGAAAATCAATAAAGACAACAATCTTTCTCAGGGAAAAATGAATTCAGCATTATAAAGTATAAATTCAAAGTATAAATTTACATGAATTATAAAAGGAACACATTTAAACCACATTATCATTTCTCTTGTGAAAACACTAAAACTGATGTACTTTTTGAATATACATACAATAAAAACAAAAATTAATTTTTGCTTTTTCCTTTATTAGCAACTTTCGATACTTTTTTAGATTTTGGTTCCCAGAGGGCATTTTTTACAAATCTTGAAGCTGCACCTCTGTCAAGCTTGGCAGACTTTTTCTTGTCTGATATTTCTTTGACTCGGTTCATGTATACTCGGATTCTTTCCTTAGAGATAAAAATAGAAAGGTAATGGATTTACTGAGCTGTTCACCTTTACTGAGTTTTATTATACCATACCACAGTGAAATTCAACAGCTATATATTTATTGTCCATTAAGTGCACAGGTCTGTAATGAACAGGATAAACATGCGCTGTGCTTTTCTGGAGTTCAGTCTTAAGGGAAAGACAGAGACAGACATCACAGTAAAACATCACTACAAAGATAAACACTGAATTGTTTAATTGTGGTTATACTTTTATTAAAATTACCATTAGCCTAAAGCTACATGTTAACTATTTTATATCTAAAGTCTGATGTCTCATATACTTTGCAACCTACAAATTTTGGTTTTTTTGTCAATTCTGAACAGAAAACACCTAAAGCCATATTTAGTTAGCTAGTCTTTTATGTTACCATCTACAGGATCTTTTATTCAATTTAATAATTTTGATTGATAAGGGCATGAAATTTTCTAATAAAATATACAGTTTTAATCAGACTTTACAAGGTGAGAAACATAATACGGTGCTAGACCACTTTGAATTTTCTAAGACCATTAATCAGCATAAATGGCTATCTCATACTTCAAATGAAGAAATAAAGTTGATGAGAGCCATAAAATAGCAGAGTAAATGATTGATCACTGCTTAAAAGCAAGTTTCATTTAAATAATCAAAACAGTTGCATAAACAGACACAGAAAAATGAGGAACCTTTAATTCTTTTAATTATACAAAGCCAGCAACTCTGCTTAAAACCCTACACTAACTACAGATCAGAGTGCAAAAGCTGTAGTACACACACACACACACACACACACACAACATACATTCACGCACACACATACACACATGCAGTGTACCTGTTCATTCATTCCTCTGCACAGGAACATCATCCTCAAATATCTTCCCAGTTACTTCCTCTTCTAATATTCTCATCAGCTAACCTTGTCAGTGAGGCCCAGACCATTTAAAATTTCAGTCCTATCCACATATCAATCTCCCATACCCTGGCTCTTCTTTTTCTTTTTTTCCCATAAGGTAATTATAATACATTATATATATGCATATATATTTACTGCTTATTTTATTGTGTTTATCGTCTTTCTCCATTCCATCTAATGTGGTATCATCCACTTCATCTCTGTTCACCAAGAAATTGTCTCATTTGGAAATAATGCCTGGCTTATAACAGGCACTTGGATATTGTTATAAACAAAGTGACTTTTTCATGTCTTTCCTCATTAGTGATGTATATAACAAATAAGTTTCTTATAGTACACTAATTATGTGATCAGTTACTAATGTCTGCCACAGGTCAGAAAAGGGGAATAGATTTTAGAATGCTTTTTATTTGCTATCCCTTCTTGGGAATATTAATGTACTCCTCTATAAAGTGGCTTATCAGAGAAAAGACAAATGATCTTATCCTTTTACAAAGACAGTATTGAGTAATATAATTTAGTGTCGAAGGAGAATAAAGAATTTTATAAATGTAAGATCCATATTAGAAAGCTAAAAGCAACTGATACAACCTAAGGGGTTAAAGCCAGTATTATTGATCAAGCTGAATTCTGCATATCATCTTGCTTTCTGATTTTGCTTTAAAAATATTTAAAGCAAATGTTTAAAATAAATTATTTTCTTCTCAAGAACTTTAAAAGAAGAAAATATCTTAGTCTATACATTTAAAAGAATGAAACAACAGATCTTGTTTAGTCATTATTGTCGGTGCTGATTTTTGTTGTGTGTTTTTCCTTCTTGTCTTTTAAGGGGTGGCAATTGGCGGGCAGAGATATGGAGAGAGGAAGAGTGAACAAGTGCAGTCATGGCATTCAATATATACTATGTAAAAAATGAACTATTCAACTTGTGGGCAGGGACAGGAGGGAGAAACTGGGGAAAAGCAAAGGAAGGTATGACATTACTCATTACCTGACTTATGGAATTATAACCTCTCTGTACAACTCCCTAATAACAAATTACATTTTTAAAAAATAATCAATGCTTTACTGTTTTAAGCAACATACATATCAACTATGTAAGACTTGGCAATAACATAGTGTCAAGTGTATATTATATCTACTTTGTATTTTATAAACACAAAGAATAAATTTATTAATATTTGTATTCATAACGCCAAGTTAAGAAGGGAACCATAAGTTTGATTTCTAATTTGTCCCTTCATATTGAATGATTTGATTTAATATTTGAAGTCAGCAAAAAACCCTAAGATATCAGACTTTATATACTGTACTTATACATCTAAATGGAATACAAAGACAAACCTGGAAGATTTACTACAGGTTGTAAATATGTCTAATGCAGAATTACTGGACAGTACACATTCAGCTGGTGCCAAAAAAGCTTTTAGCTTTGTTGCTGAACTGGATTCTTTACTGCTGAGAAAATGAATTAATGGGGGAATTGAAAAGGTGGGGGAGAAACTTTCCCGTCTTTGCTAGTAAATCAAGTAGAATATACTTTTAAAAATTGTGTAAAAGTTAAAGAAAAAATATGTAGCCTTGGAGATGAGCAGGATTTTAAGAATTTATAGGAAAAAATAATATAAAAGTTATAAATAATTACTAGAATTGTAACATTTTCCCATCCAGAGATTTAAACACCAATTCTCTGAGAAAGGTAAGAGAAAGAAAATGCAAAAACATGATCAGATCTGGCTCATCATCATAATTTCAAATCTAACTTTTTTCTCAGTAACTAGATGATAATAGAATATGACTGAAACTTGAAGAACACTATAACGAAAACATATATAAAAATAAATTAACTGAAATCTCACCAATTCTTGTTTCACTGGATGTTCTTTAGGATTAACTCCTTGGGTTGCCAAATAAACTGTAAGAGAAAGATTTCATGGGATAAGATGGGATATATATATAAATAGGAGTGTTTCTATCTTAAAAAAATTACTTATAAAAAAGAAAGTTGCATAGTTAAGGAAATTTTAAATTAACCAATTTCTATGTAATATTAAATTTAGTATTCTAAAATAAAAGTATCCAACTATTAAAACTGCCATTACGTATAAATGCATATTAGTTGCTAGAATGGAAAAAACAAATCAACTTTAACACGATACATAATTTTCTAGTTATCTCCAAAGTAATATACGTACCCCAAAACATTGAATTTAATGTGTACGCAGAAACTAAATCCACTTTTGCTTGTTCGAGTGGGTCCAACTAATGAAAAAAAAAAAATGTGAACACAAACTTGGAACATTAAGCACAAATATATTTCAGAATTTTTTTCTTCCTATAATGAAATAACTAAATGATGTGGAAATAATTTCCAGTTGTCTTAAACAATGATTTTTGCTAACACATTTTCATTTCAGGGTATCACCTTTAGTTAAACAAAGAATGTATACAATCCAAAAAAATTCTTCTGAATTATCTTAATTGAAGGAGTTATGATCTGGGCTTTATGTCAAAAGTAATTTTTCAATATAAACATGTACATGATGCATTTATGTACAAGTAGTGGGCTAAATGCTTAGACAATACCAAAGACAGAAGAAACATAATGAGATTTGTTTTAGACTGTCAAAATCAATTCAGTTTTTATCCTATAGAGTTTCCAGAAACCCTGATAAAATCCTTGTAATATTTAAAAGGTCAAAAATAAAATCTGTCAAGAATGTTCTTTGTTTTTCAAAAACCAAGTCAAAATTAAAAGGCAATTAGAAAGTATTTTCTAAAGGCTAAAGTTTTGTTTTTATCTTTTCCCCAAATAGTTATAAAATTGGAAAAGGGAAAAAGCCTCTATTACAAACCACTGTTTCTTCCACATTTCATAAAACAACTTTATTTTATGAAATTCATTTTTAGGAATTACATTTTTTTCCTTCTTTTTTTTTCCTTCTTGGTGCTAATACAGGGGCTTCAACTTTTTACTCAAAGTTATTGCTCTACCAGTCAAGGCATAGTTCCACTCTGGCTTTTCTTCATAGGGTAAGAGTGGGAGGTAACTGTAAACTCTCACAGACTTTCCTACCCCAGTGGGCTTCAAAGGGCAATCCTCAGATTTCAGCCTCCTGAGTAGCTAGAATTACAGGCATAAGCCACTAGTACATAGCCTAAGAATCACATCTTAACATACCTTCTGTAACAACTCATTTCTAGAAACAGACATCATGGTTTTCAACATCTCATCTACAGCACCAATGGAGTTTTCAAATGTTGATAAATACTCATGAATTTCTACTGGATAGTCTTCATTAATTTCTTCACCTGCCATTATGATCAACTGCAAAATACATAAATATATAGATAAATAAATTCTTAAAACTTGGAGTTCTTTAGTTTAAAACAAAAGGCAAAATTTGGACAGAGCATGTGTCATACCTCCGTAATCCCAACCATCCATGAGGTGAAGAACCATATACTCTGAGTCCAGTCAAGGAAAAAGTTCTAAAGACCTCAGTCTCAAATTAGATGTGATGGTTATACATCTATAATTCAAGCTACATGGGAGGTTTAGGTAGAAGACTGCTATACAGGGATAACAATAGGAAAAAGCTAAAACTAAAATAAAAATAACTAAAGCAAAAGAGGGCTAAGGGCATGGCTCAAGCAGCAGAACACACATCTCACAAGTGCTAGGCCTTGAGTTAAAGAGGGAGAGAGAGGGGGGAGGGAGGGGGCGGAGGGAGAGGGAGGAAGGGAGACAGAGAGGAAGTAAGGGAGGGAGGAAGGGAGGAAGGGAGGGAGGAAGGGAGGAAGGAAGGAAGGAAGGAAGGAAGGGAGGAAGGAAGGAAGGAAGGAAGGAAGGAAGCAAGGAAGCAAGGAAGCAAGGAAGGAAGCAAGGAAGGGAGGAAGCAAGGAAGGAAGTAAGGAAGGGAGGAAGGAGAGGGAGGAAGGAGAGGGAGGAAGGAAGGAAAGGAGGGAGGGAAAGAGGGAAGGAAGGAAAGAGGGAGGGAAAGAGGGAAAGAAAGAAAGAAAAAGAAAAAGGAGAAAAGAGAAAGGAGAAGGGAGATGAGGAGTAATGGAAAGGGTGGAGGAAGGAAAGGGTAGAGGAAAAGGGAAGAGGGGAGAAGGTAGAGGAGGGGGAGATGAGAGGAGGGGAGGGGAAGGAAGAAGGGGAAGAGGGGAGGGGAGAAGAGAGGAGGGGAAGGGAAAGAAAAGTAATTTACTTCAAAAGCACTAAAAGAGGGGCTGGGAAGGTGGCTCAGTGGTAGAGTGCTTGCCTTGCATGCCGGAGGCCCTGGGTTCGATTCCTCAGCACCACATAAGAAAAAAGAAAAAAGCCGGAAGTGGTGCTGTGGCTCAAGTGGTAGAGCTCTAGCCTTGAGCTGAAGAGCTGAGGGACAGCACCCAGGCCCAGAGTTCAGGCCCCACGGCCAGACCCAAAAAAAAAAAAAAAAGGCACTAAAAGATAGCCAAGCACTATGGCTCATGCCTATAATCCTACTCAGGAGGCTGAAAGAATCATAGCTCAAAGCCAACCAGGCAGGAAAAGCCAGAGGTGAAGCTGTGCTTCAAATGCTAGAATGCTAGCCTTGAATTAAAAAGCTAAAGGACAATGCTTAGGCATGGAGTTCAAACTCCAGGAATGGCACATAAAAAAGAAAAGAAAAAACCACTTCCAGAAGAATTAAAATGTGAAGATAATTCAACAAATCTTAAAATACAATTCTAAAGTAATTACATCCTAACTTCCCATTCTTGAAGGAATCCACCTAAATATATTAATGCTACACATATCAAACCTTCAATACTTATAAAACACTGGAAACATGATAACAAATCTGATATCAAAAATGTATATTGTAAAAACTTCCTATTGAAGTTAATAACCAAAAAAAACCCAAAGTTTAATAAATACATGCCATAATGCCTGCTGAAAAAAAAATATCAAGTGCTTTTCACATTCAGGTGTTGATCTAACTGAATGCTATATTAAATTTAAAAATGAGATAATTAGGTATCGTAGGTATGGAGATCTTGATCATTTATTACAATTATTTTAAAGCTATATATGTTTGCATTTACAAACTTTAAGCTTCTTTAAAATTTTAATAAGAGATTCAGTCTGTAAATCATATAAAGCCTACAAGCAGAAAAAAGAAAAACTAGAAACAATAACTTTATGGTTTTCATTTACAGTAGAGCACATACCCTCACACAAAGCCTCTTCTTAAGTTCACACTTACACCTAATATTTATGTGAACAAAAGCAAAATCCATATGTATTAACTAAAATGTCTAAAACCAAATTTCAGATGTAATTTGAATTTAGATTAGAATAATTTTCCATTAGCTGAAATACCTCCTTCATTACATGGCTAAAGAGAATGGCAATAACATGGTATATCAGTAGCAATTGGCAGAGCAGAATGGAAGCAATGACTTAGGCTTGCTATTTTGCCTAATCACTGTCAGTGAATCTCTTTGGGCTTCAAATTCTTAATCCATAAAATCAGATACATGGACTAATGATCTGTAAAGTCCCTTATAGTTCTAAATGCTATGTATGTCTTTTAGGGTTTAGAAATACTTTGAATATTTAGTCATGAAGTATCATCCAGTGTATTCCACTGAGACATCTGGGATCATTTAAGGAAAAAAAAAAAAAGTTAAGTCCATCTGACTATCACGACCTGAGATGTAAAACTACTATCTACTACTATCTACCTACTGTTCAACCAGTAATTAAAAACAGGACAGAAAACCACACAAGAAAAGAACTGTGACTATTGAAAATATGTATTTGCTTCTTATACCTCACCTAATCACTCCAAAATGACATGGGGAAAAAATGTTAGAAACCAAGGACACATTCCCATTAGCAGATCTGAGAAATTCTTTTTCTTTTTCTTTTTCTTTTTTTTTGTTGTTTGGGTTTTTTGTTTTTTTGTTTGTTTGCCAGTCCTGGGGCTTGAACTCAGGGCCTGGGCACTGTCCCTGAGCTTCTTTTGCTCAAAGCTAGTACCACTACCACTTGAGTCACAGTGCCACTTCCAGCTTTTTCTGTTTATATGTTACTGAGGAATCAAACCCAGGGCTTCATGCATGCTAGACAAGCACTCTACCACTAAGCCACCTTCCCAGCCCAAGAAATTCTGTAAGAGCAGGTAAGACTAAACTGATTTAAAAAAAAAAAAAAGAGCACACACACATACACATACTTACACACACACAAATGTATCTAGACCATTAATCATAAGAAAACAAATACAAAGCAGACAAAAGACCAAAAGACCTATACTCCAAAAGGCTCCAGGGCTCTACTATAATAGTATATAAGTCATTTCTTCTAGACCTCTAAGAAACTATCAGTTATGATCAGACATAACAATACATGTCTGTAATCCCAACTAGTTGGAAGGTGGAAGGGAGAGAATAACCACAAGTTCAAGGGTAGCCCAGACAAAGCAAGATGCTACCACAAAAACAAAAGAAATTGACACATAATTCAAGTGGTACAGCACTTGCCTAGCAAACACAAGGCCCTAGATTCAATCCTAAGTACTGCAAAAATAAATAAGCAAATACATACATACATACTTCCTATGACATTTAATTGTTTAAAAATGTTAGTGCCAGTGACAGATGTCTGTAATCATTGCTGCTCACAAGGTTGAAATACAGATGACTGCAATTCAAGGCCCAGGCAGAAAAGTCCATAAGACTTAACTCCAAAGGGGTAGAACACCAGTCAAGCAAGCACAAGGCCCTGAGTTCCAATCCCAATCCCAGTGCTAGCCAAACACACACACACAGAGCAAGGGGGGGGCGGGGAGGGACAGGGACAGGGACAGGGAGAGGGAGAGGAAGAGGGGGAAGGAGAAGGGGGAGGGGAGGGGGAGAGGGGGAGGGGGAAAAGGGGAGGGGGAGGGAGGGAAAGGGAGAGAACAATCAGGGAAAGAGAGAGAACAATCTAGAGAGAAAAAGTGGTGAGGAGAGAAAATAAAGCAGTAAAACAAGTTAAAATAACAATAACATCACCTACTAGGTTAGCAATAATTTTATTTTATTTTGCCAGTCCTGGGGCTTGAACTCAATGCCAAGGCCTGGGCATTGTCCCTGAGCTTCTTTTTCTTCAAGGCTAGCACTCTACTGCTTAAGCCACAGTGCCACTTCTGGCTTTTTTGTTTATGTAGTACTGAGGAATCGAATCCAGGGCTTCATGCAAGCTAGGCAAGCACTCTACCACTAAGCCACATTCCCAGCCCCTAATTTTATTTTTTAATTATTTTATTTTTTTGTTTATGTGGTACCAAGGAACCAAACCCCGGGCCTCATGTAAGCCACATTCCCAGCTGCAATGATTTTAAAGATTAGGAATGTTCAATGTTATCAAGACTATACACTACAGGTAGACTATAAATTGGTGGGCTGGGAATGTGGCTCAGTGGTAGAGTGCTTGCCTAGCATATATGAAGCCCGGGGTTCGAATCCTCAGTACCACATAAGCAGAAAAAGCCAGAAGTGATGCTATGGTTCAAGAAGTAAAGTGCTAGACTTAGGCTGAAGAGCTCAGCACAGCACCCACGCCCAGAGTTCAAGCCCCTCAACTGATAGGAAAAAAAAAAAAAAAAATATATATATATATATATATATATACATATACATATATATTGGCATAGAGTTTTTAATGTACATACCTTTGACTCAGGAAATTATTTTGAGGAGCCTAGTCTACAAAAATCTTTGTTCAGGGCTGGGAAGGTGGCTCAGTAGTAGAGTGCTTGCCACGCATGCGTGAGGCCCTGGGTTTTATTCCTCAGCACAACATAAACAGAAAAGGTCAGAAATACCACTATGTCTCAAGTGGTGGAGTACTAGCCTTGAGCTGAAGAGCTGAGGGACAGTGCCCAGGCCCAGAGGTCATCCCCCACGACCAACCAAAAAAAAAAAAAAAAAAAACTTTGTACATATGAATATAAATGCATTAAAATGGACTGCTCAAATTGTTCTCTGAATCCCCACACACATTCTCAATTCATTTTTCCTCTTACTAGCTCATTATCCAAAGCTAAAAACATTTTAATTCTTCATCTAAGACATAAAAGACAGAAAGGGCTTTGCCTCCTTCTGTGATGGTTTTTGGGTCTTTGTTTGGGTTATTGGCAGTACTAAGGTTTGAACTTAAGACTTTTTGCTTAGTAAGTAGACACTCTATCCTGCTTTTTGGCTTTTTTTTTTTAATCTCCAGGCCTTTTGGCTTTATTTTTCATGTAGGATCTTGTTTTTTCTTGCCTAGTACACTGCAACCCTCCTAATTTAGTCCTCCCTGTGTAGCTGGTGCACATTAACATGATCAGCTTTTTTTGAGATGGAGTCCTGGAGAACCTTTTGTGGAGGCTAGCTTCAAACCATGATCCTCCCAATCTCTGCCTCCTTAATAGCTACCACTATAAGCATGAGCAACCACGGACTTAAGATCCAAACCACCTGGATCGTAAATCTCCCTCAAAGGCCCAAAGGCAGTACAACCTTTAAGAAATAAAGCCAGTGGGAGGAAGTTAGCTCAGTAGGAACATGCTCTTGAAAGGAACTTCCGCTCCTCTTCTGTTGGCTGGTTTCTCAGCCACCATGAGATAGGCAGCTGTGCTCCACCATACACTTTCCACCATGAGTTCTGCCTAACTACCGACCCAAAAGCAACCAGGCCAATCAACCATGGAATAAAGTGTGAGTCAAAATAAATTTGCCCTCCTCCAAAAATGACTATAGTAGGGATGTGTCACAGCAAGTGAAAGCTGACTAACATATTCTCCAGCCTAAAGCCCCATTTCCTATCTTTTCAGTAAAAGCTCCTGGAGGGAGGGGGGAATACTAACAATCTCTAATTCCCCTCATATCTACAAACAGGTCCCATCTTTTTCATTCAAAACTGCCACACTGTTAAATTCAATGACCAAGTCCCAGTTCTCTACAGCATTGACTCCTTCCTTTTGATACCTAGGACATCACATTTTCTTAGTTACTCTTCTGTCTCACTGGTCTTTTTCTCATCCTTCTCCTATGCTCAGCCTCTTAATTTTAAAGGGTCTAAAAGTTAGCTGCCCACAGCTACCTTTTCTCCTTTATGTTACACCTAGATGAATCCATGGCTTTAATGTACATTACAACCTGATGACTTCCAGGTTTACTTCTCTATCCTTGACCTCATTGAACTCTACCATTTACATTTCCAACTGCTTCCTCCATATCTGTCTGAATATCTAATAAAATCTCAAATATAACCTGCCTAGGGCTGGGAAGGTAGCTCAGTGGTAGAGTGCTAGCCTTGCATGCATGAAGCCCTGGGTTCGATTCCTCAGCACCACATAAACAGAAAAAGCCAGAAGTGGCACGGTGCCTCAAGTGATAGAGTGCTAGCCTTGAGATGAAGAGCTGAGGGCCCAGAGTTCAGACCCCCACAACCAACTAAATAAATAAATAAATAACCTGCCCAAAGCCAAATTCCTAATTTTCCATACTGTAGACTTCTCCATTTCATTTCATGGCTGATTTCCAATTACTCAGGCCCAATTTTCTAACTGTTTAGATGCAATTTCACTGCACTCCTTGGCTGTTTTATCTTTATATATTAACCCTTTCCTACTACCTTTTCTGATACCATACAGCTCCAAAACACCATCATATCTTACTCAACCTCCAATCTGATAGTCTCTCATCAAACAAGCAGAATGACCATTCAAAGATGCAAATCAGATCAAACAATATCTCTGTTGGGAAACTTTCAAGGGCTTGCCACCACCCTTAAGAGTAAAACACAAGATCCTCACAGTGGCCTGAAACAGCCCAACACAATATTCCCTAACTTCATGTCACTCCCGTAAGTTCATCTACAGCCCCCACCTCCACCCCCGCCCCAGCTTTCCTCTTGCTTATCTCACTCACGCCACGGCAGCCTCGCTGCTCTTTCCTCAGCCATCAGGAACTGTGCCTACCTTAGGGCCTTCGTGTTTCTCCTCCTTTCCCTAGAATGTTCTCTTCGTTTCTTCTTTCCTAACCAATGAGATTAAGGAGCTCATTATGTCACTTTCGCCAGATCTCAGCTCAGTTGTCACCTCCTAGAGAACATTGCCTGCCCACGCTATTTTAAATGCAAATTTTTCCTCTCCCTGTCCCCACCTTACCACCACTCAATAGCATCTGATAAAATTGTGTTATTTTGTTCGCTTATTACCTAAGAAAGTTAACTACATAAAAGCAGGAATTTGTGGGGTTTTGGTTCACAAACATTGGCAGTCAATAAATATTTTTTAATGCTTAGAAACAATCTAAATATTCATGCATAGGAAAGTGCTAAATGAATTACAATACCCACATCTTTGGAACTATTGTATGCATATATGTAGAAAAGTATCTGGAAGGAGGCAGTTAAAAAATTCTCAAATTGTTTATGCTTTTACAGAAACTGTGTCGAGGTTGTAGGAACTAAATTGCTAAATTTATTCTGGAGGAAGCATTGACGATTTGAAATAAGGTTACATTTATTTTTTAAACATATTGTTTGTACGTATGTATGCATGATTTAAAGTATTGGAATTCCACAATTGAACTGCATGATTTTATGCCTGCTGCTCATTGGATGCTCATGAAAATGAAACGACTGTTTTGTTTCTCTGCTAGGAAAAGGCAAGGATTAGGAAACAAAACATACTCTTTGTCATTTAAATTTTATTTCAAAGGCATGTATTAAATTTGTAATAAAAAATTAACAATCATTAAGTTCAAATAGATGCATATTTTCATAAAGTGTATGACATTCAACTGAATGAATTTTTTCATACTGAAAGTATTTTTTCAAATCACAAAAGGTTTTTATTTAAATGTGAATGTTTTCATCCAATTTCCTTATTAAAAAAGTATTTTCAGCTGGGTGTCAGTGGCTCACACCAGTAATCCTAGCTACTTAGGAGGTAGAGATTTCAGGATCGCAGTTCAAAGCCAGCTCAGGTAGGAAAGTCCACAAGATTCTTACTTCCAATAAACTACTCAGAAAAAGCGAGGAGTGGTACTGTGGCTCAAGTGGTAAAGCACTAGCTTTGAGTAAAAAGAAGTGCAGGAAAAGTGCCTAGGCCCAGAGTTCAAGCCCAGGACCAGCAAAAAAAAAGACAAAAGTAAGAACAACAACAAAAAAAAAGTATTTCCCTCTCCAGAGCAAGATAGGAATTTTTTTTGCAACTATTCCCCATCCCACGTTCTAATATACAAGGAATTATTTATTGTTAAAATGGAACAGGACATGTATCTTGTATATACATTTTTCTAATTTGGGGAGGGAAAGGGAACTAACAAAATGCTTAAAATAGGATACAGGTTGACACACTGTAACAATGAGATGTACAAGATACTATGTTGAAAACGAACTTTACAACTTCTGTGAGGAGGGGGGGTTGGGGAGGTGGGGAGGGAAGGGATGGCAGAGGAAAAACAGAGGAGGTAACAACGCTCGATAGAAATGTACTCATTACCTTACTCATGTAACTGTAACCCTCTGTACAGTATTTTTACAATAAAAAATATATATTAAAAAAATGGAACGGGGCAAATACTGACAGCAAGGCAGGATGAATATTTGCCCTCCTTGAACTTTAACTAAATCACTTGCTTTGCTCCTAGATTAAAAATAATAATAATAAAGGCAATACAGACTCAAAGATAAAGACTTTTCCATTATCAAAGACTCCTCCCAATCCAAATTACTTCCACTAACATTTTATATAGGCAGTCCCTGAATATTTGTCTCTTCTAAAACAAAAGTGCAGAAACTTCTTCCATTCCCTTTGCTCCTATGCCCTTAGGACCAAGCAATGACACTATGGAATCAGCAGCAACAGCAAATACTTCAATAAGTAATATGTACCACTCACACATCTAACTCGCCTATTAATAATAACTCCAATAAACTATCAAAAAAGCCGGAAGTGAGGCTGTGGCTCAAGTATCAGGGCCTAGATTTGAGCAAAACAAGCTCAAGGATGGCGTCCAAACCGTGAGTTCACGCCCCACAACTGCGCACACGCGCGTATATACACGTATATACGCACACACTCACACGCGCATGTGCAACTTTGCCTAAAGCTATACTTTTCAAAGACAAGAAAGAGAAGACTGTTCCAACTCTTCTCTTTATTCTCCTCCCAGGTTCTAAAAGTCCTCCTCATCCTCCACCTCCTCTTCTTTATGCATCAACTGCAGAAATGGATAGAGGCAGAGCATGCGCACACACACTCACACACAAAACTTGCATCTCTTCATCCCTCAGTAAGGTCCGGCTGAGTCTAAGGTACAAGGAGTAGGGACATAGCAAGTGTTTCTACAAGAAATTGTCACTGCCCTGTCCCTCTTCTCACTGACTGTAGAGGTCCAATTTCCTAAACTAGAAAAGGAAGAGTGTAAAGCATCCCATAGGGAACTGAAGTCATCGGCTACCCCCTCATCCTCTACTACATGCTGTCAGTCTACTCAGAAATTTATTATCACTCCTAATTCCTCCCAAGGGTCCCAAATCCAATCAGTCCTGGCAACTGGGCCTCCCTAATCTCCTCACCCAATCTTAGCTCCATTATAATGGACTGTATTTTCAAAAGCCTTTGAAAGTCTCCTTTTGCCCAATGTTTCACCACTCTTAACCGTAGGACATTACAAAATATAATCGTGCTGTATAAATAGCTTAGGCGTAATACTCCTGTGCTTAAAATCCTGCAATGGTTCCCCATCGCCACGAGGAAGATAAACGCCAAATGTGATTAAGGAGATTTAGGAGACAGAGCAACCAAAGCAAAATCACCTACCACAGTACGAGGACCTTAATTACATTTATCTCCTCTCCAAAGTAAAAAAAAAAAAGTATCTAGGGTGGTGGTGAACAATAAACGAAAACAGGAAGGCTGTTTTCTGGTGAAAAGCCGAGTCACACTAAACATTCCAGGACCTTAAAGAAAAACCGCGGATTCCAACGGAACGTTCCGATGAACCCACTCCCTCGAAACCGCTCTGACAGAACCACCAGCTCCCCGCACACTCCGCGCGGGCCTCTGTCTAAGCAAGCTAGGGAGCAAAGAAGAAAGGACGGGGCGGGGCGGGCCAGGCCACGCCAGGAACGCAGGCCGCCGGCCACCCCGACACAGCGGTAACGCAGCATCCCACACGCCTCCTCCTGGTCTGGACTGAAGGGAAACCTCAGGAAAGGAAAGCACCGACTTGGGTGGGAACGCAAGCAATCCAGCTTTGAACGCTACCTCAGAGCCTCGGACCGCTGCCTTCCGGAAGCGGGCGGACGCGCGCTGATGACGCGAGCACACCGTCGTCGAAGACGTACGCCGTCTTGGTCTCGGCGCGCCCGTCGCTCGCTGATAACCTCACGCCTCTAGCCCCGCCCCTCCGCGGCGGTTCAGTCTCCGGGGAAAGGCGTGTGCTGGCTTCGCTCTGCCCCGCGAAGTGCGGGGAGCTTGGGAGCCCTCTAGGTGGATCTTACACATCCATCCCAAACACATATTGCGCGTTTCTTTTTGTTTTTTTATTTGTTCTGTCGGTAGTGGGGCTTGAACTCTGGGCGCTGTCCCTCAGCTCTTCAGCTCAAGGCTAGCGCTCTACCATTTGAGCCACAGCGCCACTTCTGGCTTTTTCTGTTTATGTGATGCTGAGGAATCGAACCCAGGGCCTCAGGCATGCAAGGCAAGCGCTCTACCACTGAGGCACCTTCCCAGCCCTACTTTCTATTTTTAAATTGCAGTTTCAATGTAAGTAAAATTGCATTTCACTTAATACAATCACCTAAGTGCCAGTGGCTTAGACCTGTAATCCTAGCTATTCAGGAGGCTGTGATCTGAGGGTGGCCGTTGGAAGCCAACCTGAGCAGGGAAGTCCCATGAGACTCTTGTCTCCAATAAACCACTCAGAAAAAGTGGTGCTGTGGCTCAAATTGTAGCAGGCTAGCCTTGAGCACAAAAAGGCTCAGGGACAGCACCCGGATCCTGAGTTCAAAGCCCCACAACTGACCAAAAAATAAAAATTGTACATGTTGTGTAAATCTCATTGTTTAACCTTTGTAACTTTTTATTGCCATAACATAAAAGTTATGCATGAAGTAGCAATTCATTTACTGAATCCCTACCAAAACACTTCAAAAAAAAAATCACATAATACCTAAAATTTCTTAAAAACCACGTCACATACAAATTATTCTTGCTAAAATATGTCTCACCTGAATTGGATCCACAGGAAATAGCAGAGGATTATAAAAGATATATTTTTGATGGTACTAGAATTCAAAATCAGGGCCTCACACTTGCTACCTCAATGCTTTTTGCCTTAGTTATTTTTCCTGTGGGCTCTTGGGTTTTTCCCAGACTTGGTCCATGATCCTCTTTGCCTTCCATCTAGCTAGCTATAGCAGGTCCATACCATCAGGCCTGGCTTACATGACAGCTAAAGGCAGTGTGTGATTTGGATGGAATCCCAAATTAGTAAAAATCTATAAATATTGTTGGAGTAACTGGTGAACGTTGAACATAGATTATATGTTGAATAACTATCACATGAATATTTTTAAAGTAATCTACAATTATTCCCAAGTAATTGTAATAATAATACGTGGAGATATGAAATACATCCTGTTGTTTGGCTCATAATCTGAGAATCTTGTATGAGAGAAACTATTGTAGTATTCTATTTGTCTATAAACTTGAAATACCAAAAAGAAAGCATGAGGAATTGGGAGTTCACAGGAGTGAAAGGCTTTTGATGATATGCGATTGATTACCTAGCTAGCGTTCATACCTGACTCTGGTCTTGTTTATGGCCTTGAAGACTTGGGGCAAAACTTTTTTTTTTTTTCATGGGGCTTCAACTCTGGGCGTAGGTACTGTCCCTCAGCTCTTCAGCTCACTTGGGCCACAGCACCACTTCCAGTTTTCTGGTGGTTTATTGGAGATAAGAGTCTCACAGACTTTACTCCCCAGTCTGGCTTTGAACCGTGATCCTCAGATCTCAGTCTCCTCAGTAGCTAAAATTACAAGTGTGAGCCACAAGCGCCTGCCTTGGGATGAAACTTTTACTGTAGTTAGAATCTATGTATTCAAAATATGACTTTCCCACTGCCACCACTAATATCCTCCTGCAGTTTTGATTAAAAAAAGAAAACCACACTAACATTAAGAATCCTAAGCAGCCAAGCACTGGTGGCTTGTACCTGTATTTCTACTTTCTCAGGAGACTGAGATCTGAGAATTGCAGTTCAAAGCCAGCTGAGGCAGAAAAGTCCATGAGACTCTCCAATTAACAACCAGAAAACCAGAAGTAGTGCTGTGGCTCAAAATGGTAGAGCATTAGTCTTGAGCAAAGGGAGCTCAGGAACAGTGCCCAGGCCCTGAGTTCAAGCCCCATGACCAGCAGAAAAAAAAAAAAACTAATGACAACTTTCATCTAAATATAACATGAATTCAAAGATAAGTCTAAACTGGTCTATGTGACCCAGTTGGAAGCTTTTTCTCATTAATTAATTTTATTTCTTAATTGCTGAGACTAAAGTGGCTGAATCATCTCTACCCTGAATTCTCTGATTGGACATTAAGAGTAAATAAACAAGTGAAAGCTGTTTAGTCCTTGCCTAACTTCCAGCCTTGAAAGAGAGGGACAGCGTAGAACCAGCTTCTCTCAGGAAGGCAGGAATTGAGGGATAGAAATTGCATGAGGGTCATGACTTGCTTGTTCAGAAAATAATCAGCTATCCACTCCACCTCATTTGTTTTCTCCAGAGTTCCAAAAAATGATAGTTTAGCAGCAAACAAGTTCAAAGGAGATAACTAATATTCTATAACATCCTATGGAAGAATGCTTAATGGTAAGATTTGTCTATTTTAAACCCTAAAGGTTAGGAGAAACAATGGATACAGTTGCCATTTCTGTTGCTTGTGTAAATTATTCCCATAAATGAGCCTGTTCGTTTTTGTACTTTTTTTGTGGCATAGAACTCTTTTAAGGTAGATTTCCAGCTCAGAAATCATTCTAAAAACTCTACAGTTACATTTCTTCCCTCACCTTTATTGCAGTGTACTTTATTGTCCCAAATGACTAACATCAAATATTGAATAAAGACAGCATTTGAAAATCTACCTAAAATCAGTTATTTCAAAGAGTAATTGTATGCATCAAAAATCAGTGTTTATAGACATAATACAATTACCCATCATTTATTACTGAGAATGACCACTTCCTATGAATTGCATGAAGTTCTATACTATGATTCCAAGTCTGCCATTCTCACATCAAGATTATCTTGAGTTTTCTGGACAGAAGCTCTAGAGCACAAAAATAGAAAGAACTTAGATTCAGAGAATGAGAGATTATATCTCTTCAACTGAGCAGTCTGTGAGTGGGTGTGAGTAAGTACAATTATCCTAAATCTGTAAAAAAATCAAGAGTCCGGACCTACTAATTATGAGGAAAATGAGAAACTATTGTTTCTTTTCAGGAGAATTATTTTAAAGAAAAATGAGAAAAGGAATGTGGGAGGCTACTGAAAACTGTAAGTATAGTAAGAATGTCATGTGTTTTGACACAATTAGCTGATCTTTAGCTACTGCATGTTGCTAGGAGCTCACAGATGACGTTTTTATTCTAACCTCACCAGGTTGGAAATATTCAGGAAGTCCTTGATATAGTGGAATATAATTTTGAGTTATTAATTATTGCAAACAAATGTCCTGTGCTATATTGATATGTAATGTTGCTAAGATACAATAGCTAAACTAATTTTCAAAACCACTTAGTTGGTAAGTGTGCCTGGCTGACTAACTAGCATTCTTTCATACTGGGTTTCTGTTCTCTAAACAGCACAGGTGTTTTATAACCTGATAACATATAAACTTAAGGGTTTTATGAATGAACCGAGTCCCAAAAGAAATCTAGTAGCAGTGAAAACGGAGAAATCAAATGTTATAGTTAATTAAGTTGTAAGTCTTAGCAAGCAAGCAGAATTTCTGGATAAATTTAACAATGTAATTTATAATTCCAGGTTGATTTAGATAAAAGACACGGTTTACATATACCAGGAAAAAAAATCTTCTGATAATTCTAGACAGTACAAAAATTGTTTACTGCTTATGGTGATTTTACAACCAAATGGTCATGTTCAGAGTTAGTCTTTAATTCTTTCGAGAAAGTTGTATGTTTCTTGTGCAGATTTTCACACCACAGATTAACCTTTTCTCAACTCCCACCAGTATGGCTTTTATACTGTTTATGTTTATAAGACATTAAAAGGCTAGAATTTAGGATTGCTTGTCTCAGTAATATTTCCCTAAATTTTATTCTGTAACTAGGTGATTTTGTGAATTTGAGGATTTGAAAATATTTTCTTACATATTCCTTATTAGGCTAAGTCCTAATGAATTTTCATCACTGTTCGTAATATAAGAAACTAAATATTTCAAACAAATAGATAGTTCAGCAAAAGTTTTCATTTCTCTCTAACTGCCTTGTGTGTGTGGGGGGGGGGTGTACCTGTCCTGGGGTCTGAATTCTGTCCCTGAGCTTTTTTTGCTCAAGGCTAGGTCTCTACCATTTGAGCCACAGCTTTTTGCTGGTTAATTGAAGAAAAGAGTCTCACAAACTTTCTTGCCCAGGCTTGTTTTGAACCTTGATCCTCAGATCTCAGCCTCCCACTGGCAACTGGCTTCTTACTGCCTTTACCACATCATGCATAACTTTGGTTATTTAAATTGCCATGGCCAATGGCTAACAATGGAATATGATATAAGAATCTTTAAAAATCTGGATTTGCTGTGTGGTGCACTGCCTTCTCCATGAGAAAGATAGGCAGGGCTAGCCTATTGTCCCAGACTGAGGATGAGAATGAGAGGAATACTGAAAGGAGCCATGTTCCCGGTCTAGATCTGTGAGTGATTCAAGTCACCATCAGGGATGTGAGGGCAATCTGGCTGCAACATCTGTCACCCCATTGATCACCAGGGTTGATTTGGCTGATATGGCTGGCTGGGCGGGTGTCTCCTTCTTCCCTCACTGCTCCATGTGTGTCCCTCTTGAACCTGCACGCTGGGTCAAAGAGGATGACCATCCCTGATAGAGGAGGACTGGTCTTCGGTCAAGGGTATCTGAGTAGCTGCGCTTCCCTACTAGAACCTCCAAACAAGCTCTCAAGGTCCAAGTCACCATCAGCAGGTGACCTACTTAGCTGAACACGTCAGGCTCCTAAGAAGTGAATGTATGGATGTTACTTGACTTAGGGGGTTATGTCCAGAGAAAACTAATATAAAGTC